TAAGGGGCAAATGTTCCAAGTGGAGTGTAGTAAGTCAGCTGAACTTGCATTCATGCTAATGGAGGCATTTGGCTAAGTTCCTTGGACAGTGCTTTGAACCTACTCCTAGAACTTTGAAATACACTGTGAAACACATTAAAACAAGGAATATTTTTAGGTTCTCTCTTCCCTTTAAACACAGCAAAGAAAAAAAAGTAAAGACAGTCTTCTTTTTTCTTTTTAAGAAATGCACACAAGGGAATGATGTGAGGAATTTTTAGTAATGTTTCTGTTTTAAAGCTTTTGAATACTGTACAATTTTAGAAGTCTAAAAAAACTCTCAAAGTATCATTTAGTGCTAGGTGCTGACATTGTAGTGTGTACGAAGTAGTCTAAAACAGAAGAGTCACATAATTTAGAAAAAGAGTACTTTTTCCTTCCACAATTTAATAACAAATGTAGATTGTTTTGGAAGTCCTGGGGTTTGAAGGCAGAGTTTTCCCACCAAGCTACATATATTCTAGCTCTTTTTCATTTTTATTTTGAGACATGGTCTCATTAAATTAATTCGGTTATTCAGGTGGGCTTGAACTTTCAGTACTCCTGCCTCAACTTCCTTAAGTGCTTGTATTACAGGCACATTCCACACTCACCCTAATTTTTTTTTTTTTTTTTTTTTTTTGGTACCAGGAATGAACTTGGGTCCTTGTGTTTGTGAGGCAGGTGGCAGAACCACTGAGCTAAATCCCCGGCCCCAACCTTTGTTTTGTAATAAGAGAGAGAGTGAGCATTTTCATGGGCTGCCCTGTAGACACATAAGTAATATGCAATTTTAGTTAGTACAACTTGTTAGATTTCAACACATAGTTTAAAAATTGCCACCTATGTGAGAGCAGAATTTCTATAAGAGACCTCCTACTTGACAACAGCAGATTTAGTCACCTATATGCTCAAACACTTAGTTGTTTAATCAAACATTGCTTTCCTGTGTTAACAGAAGTAGGCGGTCTTAGAGCAGAGATGGTAACTACTACATTTCTTGTACAATGCTCAGACAGTAATTAGCATATGGTATTTGCTGTAGATTCAATATATGGGTAAGGGTGACATTTGTTGACTGCTCTGACACATCCGGAGGAACATGATCAGAATGACAGAGTCTAGTAGAAAGGTAAGGTAAGAAACACTTGAAAGGTTAAATGTGTTTACCTGGATAAAAGAGAAATGGAGATTGTGTTACAGTTGGCTGATGACACTTTTACTGTAAAAATGTACTTGTTCTGCACCATTTTAAGGAACATAAGTAGAAGACATATGTAGAGAAGGATAGCCCATCTTTACAGAGCTGTCCAAAAAAATAAGATTTTTTTTCAAACAGCAGAGCTGCTCATCACAGGAAATGAGTCAGAATCTCCAAGGAAACTCATCTGTGATAGAGAATGAGTTTTAATAAAAAAGAAAAACTCTTGAGGTAAATACTGACAAGATCTAGGAATGTAAATATGTTTTTTTTTGAACTGGAGATTGAACTCATAAATATAATTTCTGTTGAGATTTTAGAGTGTGGTCCTACTAGAGTTCAACTCATGAAACAACATTTAGATATATTATTAGAAATTGTTCATAAATTATGGATTATAGCTCCAAAATTTAGCTGTCTGAACTTTATATTCTTGGGAATTTTTCAATCACTCAAAAAATTTTATTAAATCTGTGCTATGTATTCTGATAAGCCTCAGGAAGAGGAAATAGTAATCATCAATAATCATGGGTTTTTGCTTTCAGATATTAGAGCATAGAACCCTTCTGAAACTAAGATTATGAGAAAAAGGATTATGAACAGTTAAACAACCTGTTGTAACTCAGAAAAACAATCAAATTCTTGGAGCTTTCTTCAGATTTCCTAGGTTCAGATTTGCCCTCCAGCATTGGAGTTATAGAATCATAGGTGAAGTCCTCCAGCTCTCTGTCCTATAGTTTTTGCCTTCTACAAAATGAGGGTTTAAAAAAAAAGCACTCACTTTTAATATGTTGAAACAATTAAAAGTGCTCATTATACCTGCCCAACAAGTGATAATTAATTGATGGTGTGCCTGATACTGATCATCTTCATCAAATAGACATCTTTATTTTTCTCATTAAGTTTATTGGTACTTTTTAGGTATATAGTACAGTTACATGCAAGTAGACATCTTGACAGAGACAGTTTCGGAGGAAATAAAATCACAGTTCACTGGGGATATTTTCTTATTATTTGCATCAAATCTTTTGCTATGGAAACCTACCAGGCATCTGAAGTTAAATGAAAACAAGTCAGAAATTTAAAAATGGAAGAGACTGTAGACTGGATGAGGGGAGGAGAGAAAGAGGTCATGGAAACAGAATATATCATTAAAAATGTGTGACTATCTCTACCCTTGGGAATAAATGGCAAATTCTTCAGAGTATTTGGGTATCTACTAAAGCCAACTAAAATAGTGCTATAGTCATTTGATTTAGTCAATTTGTTCTTCTCAGGAAACATGTCTATATGTTAGAAATTGTTTCATGAAAAGTAATGCATATGCTTGATTATCTTCAGATAAGAAATTTGGGTCAAAATAAGCTTATTTGCCTCTTAATTGTGTCAATATAATAGATTCTAGAGGAATTTGAAAATGGATAGGTAGATTAATTTTAATTCTTTAATGGAAAAAGTTTTCTTCATTTACACTTGTAGATTATTTTACTTATTTTCACTTTTTTATTTGTAAACATTTTCTTATATGTGGATCATATACATTTTTTATAAATTCCAGCAACATTATGTATAAATTGAAAAAACATCTAACAAACAAAATATAAAGAACTTTTCTCTATCACTACCTTGTTTCTTATTTAATTTTTAAAAAATAATCAAGTTTACTTTCATTTCTAAAGGCTCTTTGTCAGACATGGGACTAGGCTTTTGCAGTATAATACAAGGTTTGATTGAATGTCAGAGGCAAATCACCCAGATTAAGCAAGAAGGACTAGTTTGACAGAGTAATGACATTAGCAGCCCTCTTGTTGGTTTAAAGACACATAACTCAGCAGTCACTGGCACAAATCATTGTATTTTGGCTAAATTTAAAATATATAGAGTACTGTGAGCAAAAAGGAAAAGAATATAGCCCATGATGATTTCAGGATTAATACAATATGTAACATATTGATATATATTAGCTTCAGATATATAGGTTTCTCCCTATATATTTATACCCATGTTTTATATAAATATGTAACACTTAAAGGAGCTTATAAATATAATTATATAAGGGTTTATTTGTAAAACAGTACAAAAGTGTGCATCTTGCTATCCAGAAAGCCCGATGTAAGAGTCAAAGTTACTTTTTCAGATTTTCTTATGTTTTGAAATTGTTTAAGCCATCCATTTTTTAAGTGACAGAGAAACTTCTGTGTCAGTATAATCTAGAAGATCTATAAACATATGTTTCTGCTATTCACTGAAGAGAAGTTGTCATAGTATGATTCAAGCTTTGGTTTTGGAAGACCTCACTAGAGGTTATGTACCTGAAATCTTTATGTAAAATACATGTAGGAAGATATTGTATGTGTTGAAATCATTGATGGATTTATTATTATTATTATTATTATTATTATTATTATAAAAAGATAACAAATTTGGATAGGATAAACATGTAATTTCTCAATTTAAATGTATTAAGTCACATTGCAAAAAGCACACAATTTTATTTCATCTTCCAGGGCTGTGCATTTCTGAATGGTTAGACCACAAAAACTTTTCTTTTTCCTTTTGCCCTTACTTCTTCTGTTTGCCTTTTTTTCTCCATGATTCCCAGTAGTGTATGTGATCACTTCTTTATGTTTCAATAGCCTGATAGTTAACACTGAGATATTTCCTATTTAAATTTCATGTAAGCTCTTAGTGTCTCTTTTGTGTGCTGGAAACTTTAGAGAAAATGATACCAATTGTAGATATTTGCTGATACCAACTGTGAGTTTCTTGTGCACAAATTATCATACAGTTCCAATCTCATATAAAATGTTACCTAGCAATTACCTTATACTCATGTGCTCTTTTTGCTATTATTTGTATTTTTTTAGCTGTGCTTCCAATATTTGTTAATGGGCTGTGTTTTAGAATTACAAGTTTATTTTACAGGTCAGTTTCAAATCACTATATAATGTATAAATAATAGAGTAAATGTTTAAAACATGTATATTTTTCTCAGTCTCAAAGCTATTTATTCCAGATGATAGTTAAAAAAAAAGAGATGGTAGATATTTTCCAAAGTGAATTTGATAAAAATATCTTTACAGACTACACAACCTAATAATATCAGCTATGATTTCCAAAAAGCAAGCAAACAGCCGGGTGTGGTGGCGCATGCCTGTAATCCCAGCACTCGGGAGGCTGAGGCAGGAGGATCACTGTGAGTTCGAGACTAGCCTGGGCTACATAGTGAGTTCCAGGTCAGGCTCAACTATACAGTGAGACCCTGTCTCAAAAAACAAAACAAAACAAAACAAAACAAAAAACCAAAAAGCAAGCAAACAAAAGTAACAACAGAAAAACTTCCATGAGAGTCTAGCTTCAGAACTTAAAAAAAAGCGCAATTATGTCCTTTTGTTTAGAAAGATGAATACTATCGTTATATTTAAAACCATATTTTAAACCCTTTTCCTAAGTAACCTAAGTTATAAATCATGACTAAATCTTCCAGATGCGCTTAAAAATCATGACTATGGAAAGAATACTTAAGAGATTAACATGTTTTAAGAAGATTTTATGTGGTTAAATGTATGATTTTGAAGTTCTATTACAGGATACAAATCAAAAGAATTTCTCAAATTATTATTTTTGGGGTATTTCTTCATGCACTTAGAATGTAATTAGAGACCACTCAATAAGGGGAAATAAGGGATAGTTAACCAAATTTAGTAAATATAATTTAGTAAAGTAAGAGAACAAAAGCAAGAAAGCGTGAATGTAATATTTGTTGTTTTATATATTCCAGATTCAGAACAATCTGTGGGCAGGAAGTGCAAGTGGCGGTTCTGTGGTTACTTCGTGCATGTTACCGCGTGACACTTCCTCCTGTATGACACCTTATTCTCACTCGCCTCGGACGGACTCCAGTTACACAGGGTTTTCAAACCACCAGAATCAGTTCAGCCACATGCCCCTCAACAATTTTTTCACTGACTCTCTTCTTACCGGGGCTACCAATGGACATGCATTTGAAACAAAGCCAGAGTTTGAAAGGAGGTCTTCCAGTATTGCCGTTCTTCGAATGAAAGCCAAGGAGCACACCGCCAATATTTCATGGGCCATGTAACATACAATACTCTTTTATTTTTCTTTTAATGGCAAAGTAAACCATTCTTATTTCTCATATTTAAAGGATACCACAATAAGCTGCTGTGTGTGGAATTGCTAAAGGTCAAGATATAAAGTGAGACCAGCTTCAATGAATAGTTGTTAGTATTTAACATTAAAATCTAAGAATGAACCTCTGAAAAGACTAAATAGGTTTACCATGCACCAGTCTCCACAAACTCTGTTTTAGTAGTAAGACTTTTTTTCCCCTATTGTACAAGTCGATGAAATATGGTCATGCAACTTCTTAAAGGAATAAATGTATTAAACAAATTCCTCTGTTATAGATTGATTTATGTTAGTTCTGTATAACAAGAAACCCCTTGTAAAATAATACCTGATAAAGCAGGAAATGCACTGGGAGAAATGTCAAGATACAGAAGCTGTCAGGTAAATAGTGAACCAGGGTATTTCAGGGAGTTAACTGCCTTTCTGGCTCCAAAAAGCAATGGGCATATCCCCCGTTGCTGAGAATTTATCTTCAAGCTTCAATTTCTATCCTCTCTTTCCCTCCCTCCCTCCTCTCTTTCTTCCTCCCCCCTCCTTTCTTCCTTCCTTCCCTCTTTCTTTTCTTTTCTTTTCTTTTTGTGTGCCTCTAGATGTTTTAGTGAGTTTTTGCTCAGTGGAAAAGGAACTCTTCTGAAATGACCAACACTTGCATGAAATATTTGGGCACAGTTTCCTGAAACCATATGTGTTAAGGTGATAACTAAAATATTCCCATGTGATTTAAAATATGGTCATGATGACAGTTTTTATCCATGCCACTTTTCATTGAAGAATCCAGCATGGATTCAAAATGCCTTGGTAATTACAAACAAGAAAAAAAAAACTGATCAAATATCTCGTGGCTTTTGAACTAAAATTGTATTGATGTAACTACGCATAAAAACAACTAACAAATATACTAAATAACATTTTCAGTTAAAGGAGCAGCAAAACAATTTATATTTATTTGTGAGTAGGTGCCTGATCAAATGTGTGTGTGTGTGTGTGTGTGTGTGTGTGTGTGCGTGCGTGTATTTTTCTTCACATATCATGCCTTAAGCATTTTTGCTACTGTGGTTTTGCTTACAGAGTAAGATGTCAGAAGGCTCTCTAAAACTTATGGTGAATAAAGAAGAGAAGAAAAATACATTGCATCTGGAAAATTGCTAACCCCTTTGATTTACTTCTCCTCCCTTTCCCCTGTCACATTCCAAGCTTTTTCAGATGAGTGAAATGTCAGCCTCCTTGAAAGACTCTTAAGTTCATAAAGGCAAATAAATTAATTGAAATGAAGATGACTTCCATGGCTTGGATCAGAGTAGGATCTGCTCTTTGTACTCTCTTAGAATCTTCTTGTGGTTCCTACAGATTTTAGGGATCTGCTTGGAAGTTTTAATGTCTGAAGAACAAGAATAAATGAATCTTTAAAATCTAATTTTAGGAAAAGTACTTAAATCCAGTAAGTGTCTCCTCTTAGAGGGAATATATTTATGGCAATTAGACATTTTTGTAATAAAATTTTAAATCAAACAGATGATGGAGATGAGTGATGTCTTAAGCAAACATTGCCTGACTTCATAACAACTCTGTTCTTTATTGCTTTTTTGTTCTTTCTTTTTAGGTTTGTTCCCAAGAAAAACTTGTTCAACTTTGGCCCCGTGAATTATGCTTACATGAAGGAGCTTTTCTAAAGGATTATTTAGGCAGCTGTTAAATATCCTTCATATTTTAGAATAGATTGACTTTTAATATACAGTATTCTTCTTTGTGGTTAATAGGAATTTTCAAACTAAAATTTAGAACTGAAATGTTAAAGTTTCTTTTTAAAGATTTTACATATGAATAGTATTAATTTTCTTCTGCTTTTATAAGTTAAATTTTAGTGCTTCACAGATAATACCTTGTATTTTTCAAGTGAGAGGCAGAATTCATAAGTTTGAATTTTACCTTATTTCTTAGTTGTCTTATTCCAAGTTTTTCTCTTCTTCATGTTTAATGAGTATTCAGAATTCCTATAACTCAGCTGTTTCTTATTTTCATTTCAAAGTATCTGAGTTTTACATCTGCAATGTTCTGTTTAAATATAATTTAGTTAGCACACTTTTAAACACCTAAAGAGTATGAAATCCTGTGGGATTTCAATAAAAGAACCATAATTTTTGTCCTTGGTGAGGTTACAGTCTTCCTGGGCCAACAAACACTTAAAAGTTCATACCTTCAGCCACATTAATGTGTCACATTACAATGTGGCAGTCCAAAGTGAATGAGTACCTTTGTATTCATATTCCAGTTTGGTTCATTTTTGGCTGAAATTTTATTATGTATTTAAGTTGCAAAATATAATAAAATGAACTTTTGATGTAATAGGATAAGATAAAACTAACTGCATAAAATACACTTTTGCTCTTTCTGGACTTAGATCAAGCAAAGTATCACACACTACAATTCATACTGCTCATAAAAATTTTGAGCATATATACGTAAAAGGAAAAAGAATAAGGAGTATTTTATGTACTTCTATTTGAGATCATCATCGACAGTATTGGTTATCAGAAGATTGGGTGCATTAAATAATTTGATCTCATGAACAGTTGTTCCTATGAGTCTCAAGCCCTGTGTGTCCCTTCCTCATATATTTCTTGCACAGATGTTTTAAGAGATGATTCATATTGTCTTTTCTGAAAAGCTTAAACCTCAAGAAATTAGTTTATGGCAGCATTAGGTAAGATTTGTTCAGCATAAAATGAAATTTCAGAAAAAATGTATGGAATTTGATGGTATTTGTTTTCATTAATATTAAATTGTGATTATTTGCTTCTTACATAACACCTTATGAAAGTGGGAAAATAAAGCCACAGCCATCTTTGCCATCGGCCTGACAACACAGATAGGAAGACAAACAGAATTACTTAACCTATGTAACTTCGAGAAAACTCATGAAGTGGAGTGTATAAATCATGAGAATGTATTCTTTTCATTGTTTCTATGGAGTGTTGATCCTTTTACCTTCAAGGAAGGGAGATGCAACAATCACACTTAATATAGTTCTTACACAGATGATATTTTATTTCCCTTTTGCATCTTTACTTTTACATCTAAAATACTAGGTATTTATTTTTACTTCCATAGTGCAATTCACACAACATCACCCTGTGTTTTATGTGTTGCTCTTTATGTAATGTGGCAATTTTTGTTTATCAGCAACTAAATAATGCCTTGGATAAAATAAATTAAACAATTAAAGTGTTTGCATAAACTTAAAAAATTTAATTTTCTAAATTTATCAGTGACCCTGACTTTTGTCTTTCAATATTAAATTTAATATTGTATGCAATGTAGTGTTTTATATAATCATTAAGTTAGATATATTTCTATTAAAATAATTACCAAATATGTTGCCAAATATTTTAGGAGAAACATGGAAATTACTTTATTTTTCTATTTATCTTTTTTTTTTTTGTACTGGGGATTGAACTCAGGTCCTTGCACTTGCAAGGCAGGCACTGCAACCACTGAGCTAAATCCCCAGCCTGAAATTACTTTATTTTTAAATCCCCAGTTAAGCTAATTTTCTTTTCTCTGACTGGAATATAAAAATATATCTTCATTAATTAAAACAATTGCTTTCACCCATTTCTACTTTAAAGAATTAGGCATTTAATTTACAAAATGTTTCTTTATAGTTATTCACATATTGTATTATATAAATTGCAGCTTTTTGCAAGATAATTTACTTAATAAAATACACATTAAGTAGTATTTTTATTCTTAAACTCTAAGTCCATTAATATATATTTTATAAAATCCAGGCAGCAATGAAACCAATGATTCAAATGAAAATAAAGTCAGAATTGAAATACCTACTAGTAGAAATTCATTTATGGCATGAAACTTCAAAAACTGATTGAGATACTTTATAGGGTGAGGCATACCGGATTGTTTTTGATAATTCTCTTTTAAAAATATCATCACTATCATTTATCCTGGAATTATTTTGCCAAAGAAATGAGTTAAGAATCAACACAGAGGCTTGTGAATTTTTCAGCTTTCCTGAGTAAAATAATACTGTGGAAGGAAGATTTTTCTTAGTCTTAGAATTTATATCACTATGTATTTTCTAAGTTCAAGGCACGAAAACTTTCACTTCAATATTCTCTCATGACATTATTTTGTAGCATACCTTTGACTATAGAAAGTTTTATTCTGGAATTTTACATGCATCCTCACATAGTGTGTAGGCATACACTTTTAAAATTTAAGACTTCTACAATAATTGCTAGCACTATGAAAAGGTAGCAGGTTTTCAATAGAAGGCTGAAGGAGCCCCCTACAGGACACTTACACAGTCTAAATCATCGAACATGAAAACATTTGAATGTTTAAAATTTCCCCATATTGCTAGAGCAGAATTCACATTTTAGACAGGAGGGGATAACAGAGATGGATCTCTGGATAAAATCCAGAGATTCATAAACCAAGAGAAAAAAATAGTTCCACTAGCACTTAGAATGAAACAGCATTCTCTTCCGCTTATGAATATGGCCAGTAATTCCAGCACAGTAATCCTTCTGTATCCGTGTGTCTGTTTTGATTACATAGTATAGTAACCATTTACATATCGAAGATATCCAGAGATGATTAAAAACAAGCATGAGGATGTACATAGGGTAAGTGGGCACCCTGCACCACTCTATGAGACTGGACTATGTGTATGGTATTAATACAAAGCATGGCTTTGTCACCAATAGAGAGAGCTTATATTTTCATATTATGTTTATTAGTTATTATAGATTTTTTAAAATGTCTACAACAAGTATATCAAGGGACGATTTCAATGTACTTCAAAATTCAGAGCTAGTTTAGATCTTATTAGTTTAATCATGTATAAAATGCATAGTTATTACTATACCTTAAAGTTTATTTTGTAAATATGTAGATGCCTGTACTTCAGTAAAATTGGATTCCCTCTTAAGACTATATTTTCTTTTATTTATATAAAAACATCTCCTAAGAATGAATTCACATACTTCATCAAGTACCTAATGATGCTTGGCATTAAAAACCCCACATCAGGATCTGCCTCTAGGTTCAATAATTTATTTCCACCATAAAGATCATGCTATGTTAAGAAAGGAGTAAAGTAAAATGGATAGAAATTTGTGAGATTATGTTTCCCTACCAGAA